CCGCTCAGGCGCCTGTCTCTAGGCGTTTGGGCGTGTAACAAAGCCCTCGGAAAACGTCATTTCGGACCGTGAAAGGCATAAGCAGGCACGGGCCACGGCTGCACTGGGAGCGGAGCTGAGCTGAGCCCGGGCGCCAGCAGCGCTCGTGGCCAGGACAGCGCCCAGGGCATCGCGTGTACCCCACGGCTGCAGCACCCACCTGCGAGGCACTCATCCTGCAGCGCGTTTTGCAGGGCTGTGCGCGCCCAGCACGCTCCTCCGGCCCAGCGCCCTAAGCAAAGCTTCGGCAAGGCTACTAAAGAGACCACGGTAACTGAAGACTGGCTGTGCAAGACCACCACCAAACCACCAGACCCGTTAGCTACGCACAGAAGTGATGAACGCTGCGAGCAACGTAAGCGGATGTGAATTTTATTACAGCTTAATGGCTATCTCTCAGCCTCACTGACGCAAGTGCCCATTTTTCTGGAGAAAAGGTGTTTTAGTAGACTCTCAGTCCTACTGAAGTCAATGTAAGTCTTCAAAGTAGTTTCAACAGAACTTATATTTGGTCTTTGTTATGTGTGGAAAGTAGCCCAAAGCCCAGTTTGCTCCCCAGATATTTTAGAAGGAATAAAGTACTCTGTTAACTAAGTTTCATTTGGGCTTGCTACCGATAAGTGACCAAAAACATCCTAGGGATAGACATGGGTTCTCTCACGGAAACAAAGCTGAATTGAGCTGAGTAATTTTAGAGCTCAAAATTCAGCTACCTTTTAGACAATCTGTTATTCCAGTTCCATTTTCCCCCACTGCACTGCATCCGTCTCCTTTCTTTTCCCTCATTGCCTCATTTCAGCAGGTGAGCAGAGGGGGGCTGCAGCCCACCACCCCTGCACAGCCCCGGGGAAAAACCCCGGAGGGAGGAAGGTGCCTGATGTGCTGAGCACTGACCGTAGTTCCCTCCTTCTGCCGAGCTGACGGTTTGGTTTGAGGGATCATTTTGATGCCCACCTATTGCAGGAATTTCTCCTGCCCCTTCTAACAGTGAGTGAGTGGTGCCGTGTCCTGCAGATGGGGGAGAACAACCTTGCCAAAAAGGCATCAGTATGTGCCTTTCATCCCAAGGTGCATGTATATAGCTATCCAACTATATGTATGTATATGTACTTGTAGATATGTATACATGTATACTTATGTGTGCATGACATTATTTTTGGGAAGAGGTCTTTCAGAGTTAATACATCTGTGATAAGAAAAATCACCGCCTCAGCGCCTGTACGGGGGGGACACCACCAGCAAGAGAAGGCTTGGTCACTCTTTCCCAACCCGCTGCTGCCCGCACGAGAACTACGGGGCTGTCGTGGAGCAGCTTTTTCAATTACCCTGGTGCCTGTCTCTACCTGGCCATGGTTTTTCCACACCATCGCACGGTGCCGGCATCCTCTGCCCCCCGCCAGCCCCAGCGGCAGAGCTGCCAGGGCTCACGCCGGCAGGGTCCTGTGCCCGGTGGTGGCCCTGTGGCCACCTGACGGTGGCAGAGCAAGGTGCCCGAAGTGTGGCTCTTTGGTGGGATGTGGTTCTCGACTCGGGGTATTGGTAGTCCAGAGAAAAGCAGCGAGGCAAGGAGGGAGAGAAGGGGACCTTTGAGCAGCAGTAATGGATGCTGCGCAGCATCCAGCGTTTAGGCTAACCCCCATCGGGGAGGGGGGGGACGGCTCCCCACCATTGCCCAGGGGCTCCTCCACAGCACAGGCTGCTCTACCCAGAGCCCACCAGTCAGTCTTAACAGCAAAAAGCCTTGAAGCACAGCCCCTAGCTCCTATACCAAGCCACCTGTAAAACAACTGCAACATGAAGTTAGACCAGAATAAGATCCCCGCAGGAACGCAGCAGAAAGTGCATACGAACACACACACACACACACACGAGTGTGCACCCACACGCCTGGACACCTGCTCTCCTCCCGCTCCATCCTAAATCGTGTTTCCTAGCAGGTTTGGCCTGCCTGTGATTAGTGAAGTTTAAGACCTTTATTTCTGTAGCACTGGAGAGTAATAACCATTTCATCTAAAACTGAAGACATGAAGGCCACATAAATCAAGCCCATTCGGGCGCATTTCATTTGGTCTAATTTTTCTACAGTTATTAATCATCGTGCAATCCTGTGCACCCTGAACGTCAGTCTGGGAACACACACACCCCCCCACCCACCACACACACACACCCAGCACCTGTTCTTCTACTCCATCACATGTATTTTATAGATTTTATAGCCCAAATAGTTGTGATATTAAAAAGAGACAGGGAATGATCTGGAGTGGTGGGAAGGACAAGGTTTTAGCTGCAGTCTGCTGCCGAGGAAGAGGGGTGATCCATCCCGAACTGCAGACTCAGCTGGAAATCCCGAGGGAGAGCCCGATCTGTTCCCCAGTTTTGTTTGCTTGGTGCTGGAGCTGGGGGGCAAAATGCAGGATATGTTGAGTAGGAAAAGAAAAACACTCTAAACTAACCAACAAATAACTAAGAGGAGCCAAATCTGTGGATCTTGTGCAAAACATCGATTTCCATGTGAAAATGTGCCTTTTGAGCAGGTAAGTGGAGGGCTGCACAACTACCATGCCTGAACTCGAATGTGAGTGAATGTCTTAAAACCTGAATTGGTTCTAGAGCCTGACCCCAAGAAGTGCTGAGTTTTCTCACTGAGCCCAGCATTTCCCAGGTCAGACCCTCTATTTCACAATCCTCACTCTGTGTTACCATCACTGCATGTCCACTGTAAGAAATAGCACCCTTCTCACGTGTAAAACCTCAGCTGAAATGATGCCAAGCTGCCACATCCAAGCCCTGTTCTCCGAAGACTGGGAGAGGTATTGCTGGGAGGGTTTTCCCCCCCTCCCTACAGCCAGCTCATGCTTATGGATCACTCTGGACACGTATTGCTTCCTTTTTTGCTGGTAAGATTTGCATCCTCACCAATAAACACCTGCATAACATCTGCAGCTGAGTGATGGGTATGAACCTCTGCCCATGTGCTCGTGCAGACCTTACGGTTCTTCTGGCAAAACAAAAATGTCACAGCCAGGTGTGTAGGTGCAATGGGGCCCTGCAAGCACGAAGATATCACCTTGCTGAAACCGCATGAAGATCAACAGAAACAATCTGTGCATACTTGACATCATCTCCCATAGCAGTCTCTGAGATTTAAGAGGGGGGAAGCCCTGGAACCTGCAGGACGCTAAATAAGTCAGAATCAAAGTGCTTTGTGTTACCAGCACTATCACTTCCCATATCTTTTTATATATATATAAAATCTCCTCCTTCCTGTACCTTTAGAAAACGAATAATTTATCTCAAATACTCTAGCTGGTATGTTCCCAGCTATGGCCAAAATAGGCTGGTTGGAGCAATTCATTTTTCCGTCACTCTCCGTGGCTCACCCGGGCCAGCAGCCCAAGCTCACCCCTGAGCCGAGCCCCCCCTGATGCCTACCTGCTCCAGGTTTTGCTGGCCCTACACCTTTGACCGCTTGCTAACGCTCGGTTCCTGGGTGCTCTCCATCCCTTGCTGCTGTGCTCATGCATTACTCGGCAACAACAGCCTGTTGCACCCCACAAGACTGACCTGTTCCCCTTCCTCGAGTTCTCGTGCCCCGGGGGGCTGTGGGCTGTGGGACCCCCGCTCCGATCAGTGCAGGACCAGCCTTTCCCACGGCTCCCCAGTCGGCACGTGGTGGGTGACACAGGACACGCAGCGCGGTTTGCTGGCTATCGTCCCGCCACCGGCTGCGGACGGGACCGACACCGAGACAGGCGTCTGTGGGAGGGAATACGCGTACCTCCTTCTGGGGTTTGCGTTTTCTCTTGAAACGCACACGGCCGGAACGGTGCTGCTCCTGTCCTCTAGCAAGCGATCCCCCGCCAGTCAAAGCACTAAACGTGGCTTGTTGGGTGGATAATTTCTTGCGTTCGCTTCTGTGCCGGACAGGACCCAGCGCCCGCTCTCCCTGCTGGCTGGGGCCAAACACTCCTGGCACGCGCGCCTGGCAAGCCTGCAGAAACCAGCCATCCTCACCAGCACGGCCACTCCGCCTGCCACCGCACTCGACCCCGGAAGAATTCCTACAGCTTTCCAACTGGGATCATCACATGTTTAACCCACTGGCACCAGAGAGCCTTGAGAAACACGACAAGAGGTGTGGGGAGGACACAGAGGGAACAAGATCGCCAAAAACAAATGGAATATTTTGCTGACAGCAACAAAGACCCACGCACTGTTCCCCGGTCTCCACTGAAATGCATTTACAGTGTCTCAAAGCAGGGGAAAAAAAGAGAAAGGGAGCAGGGGCGAGAGACAGCGAGATGGGTTTTCTACCGTTCAACCCTCAAAGACCTGAAGAAGAAACGGAACATCCACAGACTGCTAAAAAATGCTCTTTTCTGAGAAAGTGCAGTTATAAGGGGAGAGCCAGAAAATCTTTAAGCAATATATATTGATATATATATACATATATATATACACAGAGATATATATACACACATATATATATATGCACATATATATATACACATGCTTAAGGTAAACTGTCATGGCATAGCTTGTTTCTTTGAGCTGTGTACATCCCTCCAAACAAACGCACTACAAGGAGAACGCAGAAGGCATGCAGTCCACAGACACCCCCGGACACTGCCTGCTCACGTGCCATGTTCCCACCGGCGTCAGCAGCATCCGCACATGAGCGTCTCTTGTTGTCGGTATGGTTGTGCCCTTAAGGTATTCAGCTTGTGTAAGACTCAGAGTTTACAAATAAAAGCGTTTGTCATTGTGCTTCCACCACTGGAAAAATATCGTTACCCTATGACTATAAATGTTAAGGTGAAATAGGCAAATTAGGCAGTACTACAGAGATGGATTTTTTTTTTTTTGTGACCTAACAAATAATTATTATTGGGAATTATTTTCGTATCGCTTAGGATCTTGCTCTAATGGTAATAAGGTCGTGTGCTTTCCCCACCCTGAGCCTATAGGTGGTACTTCCGCAGCAGTTCGGATTGCCAGGGATGTTTCCTTTCCGGAAACCTGTCTGGGATTTTGATTTTGAGGAAATCCTGGATACATTTTTCTAGCTCCTCCTCAATGGAGAGCTTCTCCTTCACCGCTTTTTTCTTGCTGGAGTTGGACTCTCGGGAGCCGGAGGTGAGAGTCCGGAGCAGGTCGCTCTTCCTCCGGATCTCGGACTGCTGCAGCAGCTGCACCGGCCCCTTCTTGGCCGGCCGGTCCAGAGTCTGTATGTTGGGCTGGCGGGTGACGGGGCCGCAGATGACGGTCTCCTGGGGAGAGCTGGCCTCCGACTGACTGTCGCAGCTCGACGTCGACAGCTCGTTGCACGACGTGCCGCTCTCTCCCTCCTTGTCGCCTTTGCCGTTCTTGCAGCAGCAGTCGCAGTGGGACGAGGACCACCGGGAAGGCTCACCTGCAAGAGGAACAGAGAGCGCGCCGGGGTTACCGACAGCTCCGAACCCCTCGCCCGCACCCAGAAACAGGCTGCTCGCCCACCACCGGGCTCGCTGCTGCCTGCCGAGACCCACGGGAGCGGGGAGGGATGCAGCCACCCAGCGCAGCAGAAAACCTCTCGGGCATCTTTCCTGAACATCACCGTGAACCGGCAGCAAAACCTCCACCCGGTCTCAAGTGGGAGGTGATTTCCATTAACACCGGAGCTCCTTCATCTGCTCCACTTGCACGTGATGCTCAGGTCCCCTGCAGGTCTCCTGAGACACCCAATGCATGTCTGGAAGTTTTCTGAGATCCTCAGCGAGAAAGAGTCACGCGAGAACCCAGTCAGGTGTTTAACCAGAGTGAGCCACCATCGCTTCAGGAACCCTAATTGCTTTTCAGGCTTGTAAATGATTTGCTGCTACCTCCACCCACCAACCCAAGGCCAAACCCTGAGCAGATCGCACAGGGCTTTTTCTCCCTTAAGAGAAAATCCTGAAGAAGTCCACAGAAATTTTGCCTGAGGAAAGACAGAGAAAAAACAGAATGCGGACTTCAGATTTTGTCATTCCCAGTCCATTCCTCCAAGTTTCACTTGTATGTGGGGTTCCTTTGAAGCCAATAAACTCATAGGTGTGGATAGAGGTTACCAGGCAAAGGCCGAGATTACTAGTCCAAAACAGACAAACAAATGATGAATTTTTGGCTGCCAGAGGAAGGCAGCGCCCAGGAGGCAGGACATGGCAAAACTTGCTGCCCCTTCCCATCCCAGCTACCGTCTCTGCAAAACACAACAGGTCCAACAGCTTGTGTTGGCACTGATCTTCTTCCCTGGGTTTGCGCTTAATAAAGGCAAGTCCAGACAGGAGGGAATAAAACTTGTTCACATAGGAAGGGTCTGTCTGTGCTGGTGGGTGAAAGAAGTCAGGCTCTATCTGCAGCGGCTGCCGGGACCGACAGGTCTCACCTGGGAATGCCAGGCTGCTTAAATCCCATTGAACGCTCCTAGCCTCATCATTCTTCTGCCTTTAAAAGGACAGCATCAAATACGCTGCTAAATCCAAACTATCTAATTTTTTCCCTGTTTGCCATGCTCAGGTTAAAACCAAAGACCCAGGGATTCTCCAATGATCTTCTTCACACAATTACACACAACGGCAGAGTCCTACCCTTCATTAGCAACCACACATAATGAACCAGCGCAGGCAAATGCCCTGCCACGGGCTCTGCCCCAGAACAGACCGGTGTAAGCAACGTGGCACGGGCCGACGGCTCTCCCGTACAGCGGAGATGAAATTCCAACCCCACAGCAAGCTGGCTCACAGCAAACACCCCGCAGGGAGAAACGCGCCGGTGCCAGGCTCGGAGCCACCCAGCAGTGGGCTCGTCGGCAGCCGGGCTATACCAGACCCGCTCCCTCCGTCTCCTCCTGGCACGACAGGCGCAGCCCCCCGGTGCGGTCCCATCCGAGGGAGCAGGACCGCGTGGGATCACTGCTGGCACTCTGCAGCGTGAGGTGCTGCGGCAAATTAAACGGGAGAAGCGGACGGCAGAGGAATGCGTACAAAAAGCAAAATAGACAGATCCTGGGTACAGGCAGCTCATGCTGATCTCTTTCCGGATCTTACAGGTAAAATCCTGGCAGTCACAAAGAAATTCAGTGTTAGGGGTTTCAGTCTAGCCCCCAGCCGGGGGGCTGCGGGAGGCACACCAGCACGGGCAGCCCTCGCAGCAGCAGCGAGCCCACGGAGGCAGCATCCCTGCGTGACACCGCCACGGGACACGCAGACACGTGGCCCTGGAAATCACACGTTTTCCCAGCGGCATGAAACACAACAAAATAAAACAAGATGCTCCTCATGTCTAAACAAAACGTTCAGACAATAGTGCTCTCACTGCTCAGAAAAATGTTTGTTATTATTCTAGCCTGTGATCATCATGGTCTTTATACTTTCATTCGATTAAATATGACTATTTGTTCTTTTTTAAAGTAAGAAATCCAACAGCATTCAGGTAACCATTGGCTACTTATGTCAATAAACGTCTCTCCCGCAACAAAAAGGATATATGCAGCCCGTTATACAATTCAGAACTGGGTATCAGAAGGTGGTTGGCTTCCCCAGCCTCCAGGGAATAGCATTTGGGAAACTGTCTTCCATTATTGACAGCTATAGCACCCCTAATTTCTCCAGACATCTTTTCTTCTTTCAGGCTTGATAGCACAGCCAGCTTTGGCTTTAAGACAGTGCAGCCAGAGCCGCCAACCTCCATCCCGGTGGGCAGCAACTCCCCCAGCGTCCCCCCTGCCCACCCAGACCCTGACCCCTGCGGACAACTCACGGCACTTTGGAGGTAGCCTCCCCATGCACGAGGCCTTGGCCATGCACAAAACAGAGGCTTCTGGGAAACATGGACCTTCATTTGCATAACCCATCAGTGATGGGAACCCCTGAAGAGTACTTAATTTATTTCCTGATTCATGTAGCGCATGGCTTGATTTTTTTTCTTTTTCAGCTGGAGACCTGCCCAAACGCAGTAATCCGTGACAAAGAGGAAGAGCTGGCATTGATAACAACTGTTCCCTGACCAAACCACTGCAATAATCATGGATTTAAATGTCATTTGGAAGCATCCATCTTCCCACTAAAATGTAATTACCATTTCCAACTCACGCAGATTGGTAACATCATCCAGATCAAGAAAAGCATAATTTAGCTTTGCAGCTTGGGCCCAGCAATACAGCCCCTGGTCTCACCCATAAAACGGAACCGGGGGCCCCGTTGCCAGGATTGTACCCCGGCGCTTGTGGCATTTCTTACAGCGGTGCAAGGGCAGGAGAAGGGAATGGGGAGGGGGAACAGCTGGGTCAGAGCTGCAGCATTGGCCCAGTGGTTTTTGCAGCAGTGAGAGGCAACGCGTGGTGCTGGGATCGCGGTCGCGCCGGCAGCTCCTGCATGGCTGCGGGGAGGGCAACAGAGGGGGGGTGAGGCCGATGGGGAATCTCTTCTTAACGCCAAGGTCCAAGGTGACTGTTTGCTGCCACTGTTTGCTCCGGAAACAGGTCCCCATCAAAAAAATTTGGGGCAGGGTGGGAAGAAACAAACGGAAAATGTTGCTGCCAATTTCAAACCCCCAAGCTGTGGGAGCAGACACTGGACGAACGGGGTTTGCAAGCTCATGGCAGCAAATTGTTAAGAACTGAGCCACTGATAGTCGCGGCCCTGCGCTCCCTTTTCTCCATCTTTTTTGCAACCATGAACACAATGCATATAATTTACAGAAACAGGTGGAAAAACAAAAGTCAGCAAGCCCCTCCTCATCTCTTCCTTCCTCTTCCTTGTCAATGATGAAGGAGTCTTTCAGTCTGTGAGCTGTGTGGCTAAATTTAATTTATAGACTCGCTTCAAGACCCGTTCTGTATCTTGTCTGAAAAAAGTCAATAACGGCTAATTGAAATTTTTTATAATTTGCTCAGCTTTGACAAAGGCATTACGTATTGAGCCTTTGTAAAATCCTGATCATGTGCTCCTGAAAAACACATCTGTGAGCTGTATTGATTTGCAGCTCCTTACTGCAGTTGACATTACAGCTCGGTGAGGGTTTTCCTGCGTTGCAGCTACTGACTGCTCCCTGGGAGGGACTGCTCCGGAGCCTCTGCCCTTCCTAAACACAGAACGATTTAATCCAGCAAGCAACCATCAGTGCTTGAAAGGCAAAAATTAATCAGGTGGAAGGGAAGCGGTGAGGGTGTTTCTCGCTGGCCCTGTGGAAATACCGAGATGCTGAGAGGGGAGCGCCTCCTTCACGGCAATCCCGGCCGGCGGGAGGGCAGCTCCTGCTCTCCTTTTCAGCGTTTGCCTGCACTCGCCTGTAATTACTTTTTCTCTTCTCACCTGCGAAGTCAGTCATCTTCCCCAGGCTGCTTGTGTGCATTTAAGGATGACAGTGGATCCTAACGGAGGAAATACATTTGACAAGCACCACTGCTGCCACCAGCCCTTTCATGACGTGTTTTCCCTCCTCCGGACACCGGGCTCCCTCCCCATCAGGGCCCAGAGGACAGCAGGGCTGAGCTCAGTGCCGGGGATGCTCGCCTGCTCCTACGCCAGGATGATGCGCTCCCACTGCATTTGCTGCTTCCCCACCCCACGCTGAACCGAACAAAGTCTGAAAAACGGTGAAAAATGAGTTGAGAGGGAAAAGGTTACTGCTCAGGTCAGGTCCCATTCGCACACCGTGCAACCTCCTCCTACATCCTACCACTGGCCCTGAGCGTTGCAGGTTTTGGTGCCCCCCTAACAGTTTCTAAGGAAATTCATAGGGACATTCAGCTAAAGACCATCCACACCCCACAGCAGCAGGACAGCCCGTGAAACCCAAATCAAAGGGCTGCACTCACCCAGCCAAGGAACAAAACCCCAACACACACCTCAAGTCCCCAAACAGCCCAGACACTGAACATCAGACACCAAATAACAGACCACTGCAGTGGCACAGGACATTGCTATGATCACCTAATGAAACCTTGCAAACCTGAGCTGATCTTCAGCACACGCTTAGGTTGCAGACAACTCCTCACTGTTGTAACTTCATAGCTATGGGGGAGAAGAAGGGGTCCAGCCCGCCGTGCCCCTCCTGGAGGGGCCGGACCCTGCTTGAGCAGGGGGATGCACCAGCTGCCTTCAGGCACATCTCGAGTATATACTTCATTACCACAAAACAAGCCTTTTATAAGTTAATTAAGACCTAATAGATGCTAATTTCACTTAATGAATATTCACCAACGATGGGCATACCACGGGTGAGCCAGGAGGCAGAAATTCATCTATTCATGAGGCAGAACAGCAAAAAGCAGGCAAGATCTGGGTGCTGGAAACAGCCGCGGGGTTTGGAGAGGTTCCCCGGGCAGAGACCTCCTGCCAGCACCAGTGTTCAGTGAGCTGGGCTGGGCTGGCTCACTGGGAGCAGGGTTTGGCA